TTTCAAAGAGCAGTGCAGAATTTTGGTGGATACATCAGCGCGTGATTGTCATTATGATAATCATTCGTGTCATTAGTGGTGTTATCATCACGAACAATGTTCTTGCCATGTATCGTGTGAAGCTTTTGGTAATGATTAGATTTGTTACTTTATAATCAGTATTGCTTTTGTCGATAACATTCTCTCTCCCTTTGTCGGGTTGTGTGTGTGTGTGTGTGTGTGTGTGTGTGTGTGTGTGTGTGTGTGTGTGTGTGTGTGTGTGTGTGTGTGTGTGTGTGTGTGTGTGTGTGTGTTGTTATATATATATATATATATATATATATATATATATATATATATATATATATATATATATATAGAGAGAGAGAGAGAGAGAGAGAGAGAGAGAGAGAGAGAGAGAGAGAGAGAGAGAGAGAGCAAGAGAGAGAGAGAGACAGAGACAGAAAGAGAGAGAGGGGTGGGAGGAGAAGGAGAAAGAGACAGACAGAAAGAAAGAGAGAGAGTGAGAGAGATCGCCTCCTCTCCTACCTGCTCCTCTCCTTTATCTCTACTTCTACTTGTCTCGTCTCTTGGCGTTTTCGTCTACTCTCCTTACCTTTTCCTTCCTCTTATTCCTTCTCTCCCCCCCCCCCCCAGCCTTCCGTATTCTATTTTTCTCTCACTTCCATTCGGTTTCCACTCTTTCTTTCCTACTGATTCCTTTTCTCACATCTCTCTTTCTTTCCTTTCAACGTCTTTTTTTCTTCTTCTTCTTTTCACTCTTCTTCTTTTTTTGTCTTTTTCTCCGCTCCTTCCATTCCTCCTTACTTCATAATCCTTCACATCTATTGCCCTCTCTCCTTCCATCCCTCCTCGTCTCCCACCCCTTCATGTCTCCCATCCCTTCCTTTCTCCCCTCCTTTCTCCTTCCACCCTTTCTCGTCTCCCACCCCTTCATGTCTCCCTTCCTTCTCTCCTTCCACCCTTTCTCATCTCCCACCCCTTCACTTCTTTCTTCCACCCTTTCTCATCTCCTTCATGTCTCTCTTTCTTCTCTCCTTCCACCCTTTCTCGTCTCCTACCCCTTCATGTCTCCCACTCCTTCATGTCTCCCTTCCTTCTCTCCTTCCACCCCTTCTCGTCTCCCACCCCTTCATGTCTCCCTTCCTTCTCTCCTTCCACCCTTTTTTTGTCTCCACCCCTTCATGTCTTCCTTTCTTCTCTCCTTCCACCCTTTCTCGTCTCCCATCCCTTCCTTTCTCCCCTCCTCTCTCCTTCCAACCCTTTCTCGTCTCCCACCCCTTCATGTCTCCCTTCCTCTCCCCTTCCAACCCTTTTTCGTCTCCCACCCCTTCATGTCTCCCACTCCTTCATGTCTCCCTTCCTTCTCTCCTTCCACCCCTTCTCGTCTCCCTTCCTTCTCTCCTTCCACCCTTTTTTGTCTCCCACCCCTTCATGTCTTCCTTTCTTCTCTCCTTCCACCCTTTCTCGTCTCCTATCCCTTCCTTTCTCCCCTCCTCTCCCCTTCCAACCCTTTCTCGTCTCCCACCCCTTCATGTCTCCCTTCCTTCTCTCCTTCCACCCTTTCTCATCTCCCATCCCTTCCTTTCTCCCCTCCTCTCTCCTTCCAACCCTTTCTCGTCTCCCACCCCTTCATGTCTCCCTTCCTTCTCTCCTGTACACAATCAGTCAACAAGTTCTGACAAGCCGGCACGAGGCGGATAGATTGCGCAGGACGATCCCTCGTTTTTGCATCAGATATAACGCCAGCATGTTTCGCTAAAAGGAACTCACAGAAAGTTAGATTAGCCTCCTCAGTGTCTGTGCTGTTCTATTTGTGTAAGCAATATAGACACGTGTGAGGCTCAGGATTGGAGTGTAGGGAAATGTGTGTGTGTGTGTGTCCCTATATATCTTGGTGTATACATAGGTGTTTTATTTTTCATTAACCAGTCACTCAAGATTTTAAAATATATGTTAGTATACACCGTGATTCTTGCCTTTATCTTTTATTTTTATTTTTATTTTATTTTGTTTATTTATTTTTTTTTTACCAGAAACTAGTTATGTAAGCAAGAAGACATTAGCTAGATCTATGTCTTTAATAATGGTTCTGATATAACTTCACATTGGCAGACATTTGAATTTCAACAATTTTAGATGATCTGTATCGAGATTCAAATAGGATAAAATATCATATCACAAGGCTTCGCTGTTTCGCTTTACATTTACCATGCGTTTTATATTCAAGCATCAAAGTATTCCATTATATTTGTATAAAAAGAAAAAGAAAGAATTATACTTAAATTTACATTAAAATATATAAAAAGGATAAAAAGAATTTCAACTTCTCGTCCTTTATTATATGTCCTCTCTCTATGTTGTACTATATACTTACACAAATATAAAACACCTATAACTAAATAGTATTGCAAGTTATTGTATGCTATGTTCGTACCGTCGACTTTCACAAATTGAATCTGTCCGGTCGCTTTAGTAATTAATTTCCTACATTCCTTTGGGATATTTTTACTCTGGGAACAAGAAACCTCATACGATGACAGCGTTTGCGACATATGTAACATAAATCACAGTGTTTCTGATTTTGCTTTTGGAGGAGCGGTTACGTTCGCAGTCGCAAATATGTTTGTGTTTTGATTCATATGATGATTTACGCAGCAAATTAAAATTAATGTTGATAATAATGAAGTATGAAGAGAGCGAGAGAGAGAGAGAAAGTGAAAAGAATGACGGATGGTCAGGGAGAGAAAGGGAGAGAGCATATATATATATATATATATATATATATATATATATATATATATATATATATATATATATATATGTATATGTATATAATATATATATATATATATATATATATATATATATATATATATATATATATATATATATATATATATATATATAATATATATAATATAATATATATATTATATGATATATATATGTATATATATATATATATATATATATATATATATATATATATATATATATATATATATATATTAATATATTATATATATATATATATATATATATATATATATATATATATATATATATATATATATATATATATATATATATTTATATATATATATATATATATATATATATATATATATATAGAGAGAGAGAGAGAGAGAGAGAGAGAGAGAGAGAGAGAGAGAGAGAGAGAGAGAGAGAGAGAGAGAGAGAGAGAGAGAGAGAGAAGAGAGAAAAAGAGAGAAAAATGAAAAGGAAGAGAGCGCACCCTCAGAACTTAAAGGAAGGCAAAAGAAGCAGAATTCTTAAACCTGGAAAAAAAAACAGATTATCGGACACATTAAGTAAGCATTAGAAGAGAAGAGAGCAGCGCCTTTATAAAGAGACGGGGAGATAAGAAGAAACTTATCTCTTCCGGAGATGATCACAAGCTTCTACAAAGTTTATTTTTTCTCTGGAGAGATTTTTATTTATCTATTATTTATTTTGTTTATTTTTATTATTATTATCATTATTTTTTTTTTTTTTTTTTTTTTTTTGTTTTCTTTTATCATTATCTATCTGATTCAGGAAGAGGCAGGGAATTCGTAATATAGCTGTATACGTATCTGGTGAGAGGCTGCATCTGCATAGGTACATTCGTTAGATCTGAGTATGAATATAAATGTAATTGGGAAATAGAAAGAGAGAGTGAGAGAGTAAGGGAGCGAGAGAGCGAAAAGAGAAGAGAGAGAGAGAGAGAGAGAGAGAGAGAGAGAGAGAAGAGAGAGAGAGAGAGAGAGAGAGAGAGAGAGAGAGAGAGAGAGAGAGAGAAGAGAATAGAGAGAGAAACAGAAAAAAGAGACAAACACAGAGATAAGTAATGACAGAGACACAAAGAGAGAAAGGAAAGGGCGAACGAAAAAGAAATAAAGAATGGAGAAAATAAAAGAAAGAAAGAACACGAGTGGGCGAATGGAGCGAGAGAGAGAAAGGTAGGAGGAGGGTAAACAGAGTGACAGGAAGAAGGAGAAGAGAAGAGAGAAAGGCGAAAAGAAAAAGTGAACCGGAAAGTGGAAAAGAAGGAGAGATGCGGATAGGAAGAGGAAAGAAAAATATGAGGAGAGAAAGTGTGACGAGCAAAGAGACGGATAGTAAGAAAGGAGAGGGAAGTGAAACCAAGTGAGAGAGAGAAAACGAACCGATAAACAAAAAGAAAGGAAGAAGGAGAGAGAGAGAGAGAGAGAGAGAGAGAGAGAGAGAGAGAGAGAGGAGAGAAAGAAGAGAAGAGCATCCAGAGAGAGTGTAAGAAAGTATTACGTGCTTCGAAAGCCTTTGTGCGTGTATCTTTCCCCCAGTTGCTCTTAAAGCGGGAAATCCCAAGCGTCGCAAGGTCACAATAGGTCTTACTTTCAATCACGGAGATCGCACAGCCAGCACGAACAGGGATGCATGTACTGATGCTTTGGCTTGCTACTGTCGAGAAAGGGAAGGAGATTTGAGGCGGTATCTCGTATGCAAGGTTTGCGAATGAAATAGAAAGTGTGTGTGTGTGTGTGTGTGTGTGTTGTGTGTGTGTGTGTGTGTGTGTGTGTGTGTGTGTGTGTGTGTGTGTGTGTGTGTGTGTGTGTTTTCTAAGATAAAGAGAATTACTTTATTTTCATTTTCGCTTTTTTTTTTTTGCGGGGGGGGGGGCAGTGATGTTGTGTGTGTACTGTATATATGTGTATTTGGATGTTAGTCTCTTGTGTGCGTGTATATTTGTGTGTACGTGCATTTCTAAATACAAAAATAAAATAAACTCTCAAACAACAATGAAACACGACACAAGAAATATACCAAACAAAAAAAAAAAAAAAATCCAAACAAACTCCTCGCGCATTCCGCACGCCCTTCGTCGCCGGGGAACAAAGCTCAAAAATGGCGGGAATATCTCATCTCGCGGAGGAAAACTTGGAGCGCATCCGAACTTCCGCGCGCGCAGTCAAGTCGATAAAGTAAACTCACTCGCGGTCTAAGAGAGGGAAAAGTCAGCAACTCTCGTGCGCCAAGACCCGAGGAAAGTCAGACAGAAACCCGCCCAAGTTGTATGAGATCTTCCGACTCGGACAAAACAATTTTCTCGGGCGATGGATGTCGGGGTCTTGGTTTTCGGGCCTTGGATGTCGGGCCTGGAGGTCGGGCTTGGTGTCGGGTTGGAGGTAGGGCTTGGATGTCGGGACTTGGATGTCGGGCCTTAGATGTAGGGCTTGGAAGTCGGGCTCGGATGTCGGGCCTTGGATGTCGGGCTTGGTTGTCGGGCCTAGGAGGTAGGGCTTGGATGTCGGGACTTGGTTGTCGGGCCTTGGATGTAGGGCTTGGATGTCGGGCCTTGGATGTAGGGCTTGGTTGTCGGGCCTTAGGGCTTGGATGTCGGGACTTGGATGTCGGGCCTTAGATGTAGGGCTTGGAAGGGGCTCTCTTGGATGTCGGGCCTTGGTTGGTCGGGCCTAGGTGGTGGGCTTGGAGGACTTGGTTGTCGGGCTTGGATGTAGGGCTTGGAGTCGGGTGGATGTGGCTTGGTTGTCGGGCCTAGGAGGTAGGGCTTGGATGTCGGGACTTGGATGTCGGGCCTTAGATGTAGGGCTTGGAAGTCGGGCTTGTCGGCCTTGGATGTCGGGCTTGGTTGTCGGGCCTGTCGGGCTTGGATGTCGGGCCTTGGATGTCGGGCCTTGGATGTCGGCCTTGGTTGTCGGCCTTAGATGCCGGGCTTGGTTGTCGGGCTTTGGTTGTTGTCGAAGGAGGAGCAGATGGCCCTCGAGTACACAGCGCCCTCTAGGTGTACGGAGCAT